ATATGTCTTGCCTGGATAAAACAATCAGAAATTGCAGACGGGCAAGAACTATTAGAGACATCATACATTAAGTTACACACAGTTTTATAATATAGCATATTTAAAGGAAGGATATTTAAATTACATACCTGTGGAAGCGAACAGCGACAACCAGAATAACAAAGACGAACACACACGATGCAGCGACAATGATACCAATCATCACACCAAATGAATTGCTCGATGATTTCCCAACGAATTCCCTGTCATCCACCGCTCCAGGTAATGCATCCTTCTCCTGACGTCCTAATGCTTGCATGTCGTATTGAGGTGTATTCTTGTCGGTCGTCAGTTCAGTCTGAAGGATATTGCTGAGGTAGCGATTCTTGAGATTGGATACTGTGAACTGGAAACGAGAAGATATTTTGATAAGAATTATGAATTAAATGGATAAAAGAGCACGGCAAATAATTTTTATACCATTACGTATTTACATTATGTACGCGAACCCAATTGGGAGGTCACTTCTTGCTTCCTTATGATTGGTCAACTCCACCAAAAAGAAAAGTAATTGGTGCATTCAGCAGAAAGGAAGTTTATCAATTATACCGGAATGAATTGGTAAAGATTTTTGGGAACAATTCCAACATATACGGATTAGTTCTTTTCCTTTCTTTATGTTCATTGCTTTATTTCAAAATTTTGAATGTTGTAACCATTTGCGTGATTTAAAAATATTTCTAGCATACCATGTGAAATTCAGTTCAAAGCTCTGAAGATGTTCTACTGTAAACAACGAATTATAGCTGGCTTAAAATTTTACCCTTATTCTCGGGAACTTTAGATTCTTAGTTTAAAAATGAATAAAAGATCCTAACGAAAAATTTTTATACAATATATATTTTATGAAATTTTTATTTTTTCCAGGTCGGGCGGGAGCTTAATTTCTATTTTTATTTCATATAAAAGCTACATAACTTAAAATATTATGAAGTTTTATTAGTCAACATTTCGTTTTATACAACACAGCATCTTTATCACGCATGATAAAAAATAATAATTATCACCTCCTTTTAATTAGTACTAACTGCGTAACATTAACTACTTACTAACAGTAGGTACTGCATCATAAGTTATGTAGTTTTTATATTAAATAAAAAAATAAAAAACTCCCGCCCGACCTGGAAAAATGAAATGGCTAAACAACTATTTTTATGTGGCAAGAAAGGAGAAGCAGAGAACGAAATAAACATAAAAAAGACTACACAAAATTTACATAGAAAATAACAAGTACAAAACAACAAAACCATCCAATACCTTGAAGTTATGATACACCACAGTTGATGGATCACTGATGTCTTCTAACCCCAAATGTACAAAAACGATCTCCCTAAGTACCATCTGGTACTCATCCAACGTCGCAAGTCCCCTGATGACCACACCTTTTCCATCAGGAAGGTTATCCTTCCTCAGGTTCAACAGATCCAAGAGTGGCCCAGGGTTAACCAAAGATTCTTCGCTGCTCAGAGGTGGATCGACTTCTATTCGAGCGGAATCGAGATACTTCGAGCACTTATCGGCAGTAACCGCCAACTTCTCCGCGACGCGAATTCCGTACTTTTTCAAATCGTTCAGTCCGACTACTTTCCGGCTACCTCCAGACAGTCTCAATGCCGTTTTTTCGCTAGATGAGACCATGATCTGGAGATTGAGCATTGGCAGCGGTTGCTTGTTTATCGTCGTTTTGATTTGCAGTGGTCTTCGGCCATTGGTCGGAGAGCGTCGCGTGTTCACGTAGACCAGATTTCGAAGGATGTTTTCGAATGTTTCGGGTGTTCCCTGACCGTTTATTTCAATCACTTTGTGATCGCTTTGAGTGACTTTGAAGCCGCTTGGGGCGGGACTGTCGATCTTGATCCGCTCTTTGCATTCATAAACACATTTGATAGCCTGGAATGAGTCAGTATATTGTTAATGAGTTACTTATTTAATGCTTATTACATTTGGTGTGGTTGCCCAATTCGCTCTAAGTGTTAGTTTTTAGTGGGGAGAACTGAGAGAAAAACCGTAAGAGTACACGAGAGAACCAATCAAACTCTGCTTACATGAGTTTTTCAAACGCAGGAAGTTTCCCAATTCAATCTTAGTAAGTCCCTACCCTCAACCTACATCGACCTACAGTGACACGCTTAACTCAGAGGGTAAGTGCACAGTGGTCCCTGAGATGATTCAA